TCTCAGTGTCTGTGCTACTGGTGTTATATTTAGGAAGTGATATCCCATGCCAATGCGTTCAAGACTACTTCCTACTTTCTCTTCTAGCAGGTTCAGAGTAGCTGGATTTATGTTGAGGTCCTTGATCCACTTGGACTTAAGTTTTGTGCATTGTGACAGATATGGATTTATTTGCAGCCTTCTACACGTTGATATCCAGTTATGCCAGCACCATTTGTTGAAGATGCTTTCTTTTCTCCATTGTACATTTTTTGCTTCTTTGTCAAAAATTATATGTTTATAGGTGTGCGGATTAATGTCAGGGTCTTCAATTTGATTCCATTGGTCCACATGTCTGTTTTTGTGCCAATACCAAGCTGTTTTTATTACTGTAGCTCTATAGTAGAGCTTGAAGTCAGGGATTTTGATGCCTCCAGAGGTTGTTTTATTGTACAGGATTCTTTTGGCTATCCTGGTGAACCCAAGGCTTTGATTGTTAGTCAGCACTCTATCACTGAACTAGAGCTCCAGAGCTAACACAACAAAACAAAACAACAACAACATAAAGCAATGATGGGTGGAGAGAAAGAAAGAAGAGGGGACCTCTGTGTGAGCCCATCTTCCTTCACAAAGCAGTTCCTAGCCACAGCGTGGCAGCAGTAAAGGCAGCAGTTTCAGAGAGTGGAGCAGGCAGTAGAGTTCAGGGAGCACTGGCCTGGTGATGCAGACAGTACCTAAGGGGGCTTTCTCCATCCTAGAAGACTGAAAATTTACCTCCTGGCAGATATTATGCCCGATACCACTCAAATCTCAGCCTTCTCACTCCTCCAATTTTGACCCTCTACCCTAAATGTCTATAATCCAGATGGGTCTTCTGAAGCAAACCTACTACAGTATAAAGCCCACTGCTCTATGTCCTTTGTGGGAAAGGGGCTTCAGCTCTGTGGCTGAGGTGGAATACCCCTGCTACTGAAGAGAAGGGAAGGAATCAGGCCTCATCCAGGCTGTGTAGATACCTCAACAAGCGTAGAGACTCCTGTGTAGTCGAAAAAGGTCAAGCCTTTGCAATCCAGGACCAAAGAACACTTCTCACAGGGGCAGGGCTGAGAAGCATCCTCTGTAGGAGACACAGAAAATCTAGTTAGAATTTGCAGATTTCTGCTGCCGACTTGGTTGAATGGGAGCAAAGCAACAGTAGCCTCATGGCTAACAGCAATTCTGAACTTTTCATTCTTAATTTTCAGTTAGTTACCAATTATTTCTGAGCTCTGTTTTTTGTTTGTTTGTTTTTGTTGTTTTTACTAGATTGACAGAACTTTAAATGAGTCTGAAAGGATATCTAGCAAGTTAACTCTAAGCACAGTGTAGACATTCTGATAGTGATAGTGCACTATCCAAATCAACTGCTTCTTTTGCGATAGGTCCAGAGTAAGAGAGTTTTGCAATGTCTACAGCTCATGCACTTCAGTTTATATGTTAAAGCAAGGGTCCAACACTTGGAAGTATTCCACAGCTTTGGAGGGGATCTGTGCTAACATTAATTTTCAGTTAATTCACAGTAAATCTGTATGTACAAAGCTCCGAGTTTACCCCATCTCTATAAAAACCAATCACAACCAACAATAGCATAAGCCTGCTGTGCACAAATGAAAACAGGTGATCAAAAATATGAAATATACTGAAAAACATTACATGAGAGTTATAGCTAGGAAAATACAACAAAGTACCTTCTGGTGTATTTTAAAAGCCCTGTTTTGATAAAGGATTTGTTTCCAACTTACAGTTTCAGGTCATTTTAACTAATTGACTAAATTAACTATGGAGGATGTTTGAAAATCTTCAAATATGTAGTAGGTGATATCAAGTATGCGCCAAAGCCTATTCTTTTCTTCAAGTAGCTAATAATTTGGACATAACTTATACAGATGTGGTCTAAGATTAAATAAAACAAAGTAAAAAATTGGAATTTATGAAATGGGGGAAATCTCCTTGGGGTGCTTCTTTCACTGGCAGCTTTGACAGAAATGTCTGTTCTGGCCACAGGAGGCACTTTAACACACGACCCCCCAGGGCCCCTACTCCTCCAGCTCCTGTGTCCACTGCATGTCTGGCACTGCAGCCTTCTGTTTCCCTGTTCTCCCAGAGACGTCCACTGTCCTTCCAAACACAACCATCAGTCCCTCAAATAAGACAGAACACAGTTACAGCTCAGGTCCCCCACTCAGTGGGCATCTTTGTCATGCCCCATTAGCCTGACCCCAAGACTTCTCTCCACAGCACAGGGATTCTTCTTTATTCTCTCCCGTAAATTGTGCCCCTGGTTCAAAGATGGGAAAGAATTAAGATGCAGGGAAAATAAAAATGTTCATTCTAAGTAAAGAATATGCACTTTACTTCCCAGTGAAATGTTCGTCTAGTCATAAATACATTTTTGTACAATTTAGAAACTGTTTATACTCTCAAAACATAAAAGACTAATAATTAAGTATTAAAAGACTTTAATAATTAATTAAAAACAAATATCTATGTGGCACACATAATGGCTGTGGAGCCTGCATGGGACTGGGCTAGGCCCCCTGCATGGTGAGACAGTTGTGTAGCTTGATCTGCTTAGGGGGCCCCCTGGTGGTAGGATCAGAATCCATCCCTGGTGCATGAGCGGGCTTTTTAGAGGCCACTACCTATGATGGGACACTTAGTGCAGCCTTGAAGCAGGGGGAGGGGCTTAAACTTGCCTCTACTGGATGTGCCTCCTCATGGGAAGCCTTGCCTTCTTGTGGAGGTGAGTGGGAGGCAGAGGTGGGAGCAGGAGCGGGAGGAAGAAGAGGGGGATCTTTGATTGGTGTGTAAAATGAATGGGAAAATTTTCTTAATAAAAAAATCTGTGTGGCACACATATGGTACATACATGCATAGAAACATGCTGTGGGATGGTCTGTATGTCAAATTGCTCTGATTAGTCAATAAATAAAACACTGATTGGCCAGTGGCCAGGCAGGAAGTATAGGTGGGACTAACAGAGAGGAGAATTGAGAGAATTCTGGGAAGTGGAAGGCTGAGGAGGAGACACTGCCAACTGCCACCATGATAAGCAGCATGTGAAGATGCCGGTAAGCCATGAGCCACGTGACAAGGTGTAGATTTATAGAAATGGATTAATTTAAGATATAAGAACAGTTAGCAAGAAGCCTGCCACGGCCATACAGTTTATAAGCAATATAAGTCTCTGTGTTTACTTGGTTGGGTCTGAGCGGCTGAGGGACGGGTGACAGAGATTTGTCCTGACTGTGGGCAGGGCAGGAAAATTCTAGCTACATAAACATGTGTATGTATACATATACACATACATAGGACAGACAAAGTTAGATACTAAACATTTAGTAAGGCTAATCATGTTCATAGCATACACTGGAATTCTGTATTTGCAGGTTTCCTATAAAAATCCTTTTGGACATATTGGTTTTAGAAAATAAAATTTTTTGTGTCTTGTTTACAGTATTATTTTAGAACAACTCATAGCACTGGGTGTGTGTCTTCCCAGCTCCATTCCTAGTGATCAGACACAGCAAAAATGTTTACACTACAGACATGGGCAGGTGCTACAACTCTATTCCATATTCCCTGCTCCAAAAATCGTTTGTTAAAGAATTACCAGGACTATCACTGTTAAAGATGGGTGCTTTTATTATCCAATAGCCTTAATTAAGTAAATGGCTAACCCATGGCGATATTTGGTGTTAGAGTTTAAAGGGTAGTGATGGCAAAATTGGTAGGAAAATTGTTGCACTTTATTCTTGTGTTCAGTATCTTATGACCAAATGGCATAGAACAAATATTTCGAATTAAGTGACAATGTACAACTTTTGTTAAAAATTATCCTTAAAATATTCAATATTTAACTAAGAAAACAGAAGACCAATGAATTATAAAGTTTTCTGACATCTCAATGCCTTCTTTTCTTATTCTCTTTTTCTTTACTTTTTTGAGATTATAATGTAATTGCATCATTCCCCTCTTCCCTTTTCTTCCTATAAGCCCTCCTTTACACCCCTCCTTATTCTCTTTCAAATTCATAGCCTTTTTTTCATTAACTGTTGTGGGATATTTGTAACACCGTGTGAAGATGTATTGCTGAACAGCCAATAGCTAGGCAGGAGGTATAACTGGCAGAGAGAAACGGAGAGGAGGCATCTAGGAGCATGATTTCACCAGCAGACTCAGAACAAGTCGGATGTGAAGCAATACAAAGAGGATTCCAAGCCATATGGTTGCACTGGCTGGTTTTACGTGCCAACTTGACACAAGCTAGAGTCATCAGAGGAAGGAGCCGCAGTTGAGGAAATGCCTCCATGAGATCCAGCCTTAAGGCATTTTCTCATTTAGTGATCAATGGGGGAAGGCCCAGCCCACGGTGGGTGGGGCCATCCCTGGGCAGGTGGTCCTGGGTTCTATAAGATGAGCTGAGCAAGCCATGGGAAGCAAGCCAGTAAGCAGCTTCCCTCCATGGCCACTGCATCAGCTCCTTTCCCAGATCCTGCGGTCCTGCCCTGTTTGAGTTCCTGTCCTGACTTCCTTTCAGTGATGAACAGCAATGCTGAAGTGTAAGCCAAATTAAACCTTTCCTCCCCAACTTGCTTTTTGGTCATGGTGTTTCATCACAGCAATAGAACCCCTAAGACAAAGTGGTAGAATACAGATTGAATATATATATATATATGGGTTAATTAAGTTATAAGAGCTAATCGAGAAAAGCCAAGCTTTTATAATCAATATTAAGGCTGGCAAATATGGTTCAAAGACAGTCCAACAAGAAAGCTTGCTATGTTTGGTGCACATAAATCTACATAGGGCTTGAAACAGCTAAAAAAAAGAAAGAAAAAAAAAAAAAGTCCCAGACACACCAGAGCCCACTGCTCGTGGGAGTACAGAAGCCTGGCTCCTTTAAAACGCCCTGCTGGGCAGCACTTGAGCAGCCTCTGTGCTGCCCCAGGTAAAAATGCCTTCCCCACATCACCGACAAAATGACAAACCAGCTTCCGGGAACTGCAATGGTTAGCTGTGGCTGGGACAGTTAGGAGCTCCTGCCTTTGCCCGCAGACCAGATCGGGGAAGAGCCAGTCACCAGAGGCATGTACTAGGCAGAGCCCTGCAACATAGTCCGGCCATTTAAGGTTTGGCTCATGCAGACAGAAAAATACTGCAGATGCACAGAAAGTCAGACCCTAACTGAGGAAACCTCTGAACAGATACAGTATGGTTAAAAATGTTCTTAGATGCTGAAGAAAGAAAACAAAATGGGTATGGATAGTCACAGAAAAATAATAAACAGTTTAAAAAATAATAAAGTATTTAAAGAGAGGGTAGAATACTGTAAAAGAAATAAGCCATGTAAGGATAGAAAATACACAGGGCATGTGGACCATATTAGTGCTTTGTTAACTTTAAATTTTTATTTATTTATTTATTTATTTATTTATTTATTTATTTATTTATTTATTTTGGTTTTTCGAGACAGGGTTTCTCTGTGTAGCTTTGCGCCTTTCCTGGAACTCACTCTGTAGTCCAGGCTGGCCTTGAACTCACAGAGATCCACCTGGCTCTGCCTCCCGAGTGCTGGGATTAAAGGCTTACGCCACCACCGCCCGGCTACTTTAAGTATTTTAAATGCTAATGAGCAAATTGTGGCAGCTGCTGAGAGACATTGTGAAAAGAGCTGCAGAACTAATCTAGTCTGTATATTTTGGGGATGTCTTAACTGTAAAATGGAAGTCAGAAAATATGTTACGCTGGGGGACAAGTCATTTATGCCTTTGTTTCCACAGGAAACAAAAAGCTATGGATTCCTTCAAAATTAATAAAGATCATATTTGACTGGGGGAGATCTCCTGAAAATCTTGGCTACAGACATGAAGAAAAAAAGAAAAACTACAAGACAGATGGCATATATGCTGCTCCCTCTAGATGGGAACAGCTCTGAGACTGGATGAGACGTGATAAATCTTGTTGGCTGCAGAGTCCTCATGACTTATTATTACATGCCATCCATTCATATGGTAGGGATGGAGATTTATATTACAGTTTAGTTATGCAGTCCAAATGGACTTATAAAGTTGACAGATGCCTTTTACCTGCTCAAATAGGAAACAGAAAATCATGTTTAGCTGACTTGTGCACACCAACCACACATTCCATACTTGTGTTAATACAAATCTGTATGTTACCTTTAAAAGTTTCTGAGTTTTCAGGGAAAAAAAAAAGGACCAGACACCAATGAAAACAAGTAGCCCAGGTGATCCAGTCTCTCAGAGTGCCTCTGTTGCATTTTCCTCAAAATCCTACATCCAGAAAAGCTGCTGGCTAAGAGGGTCCGGCCTCACAGACTACTCTAGCCAAGACTTCAAATAAGCTCTATACTTGCCAATCACAGAGAGTAAACAAAAAATAATACAGCTAGCTCTCCCAGGATTTGACTATTATCCTAATTTTCCAGGGTCCCCTGAAGATGTCATCATCCCCAGACAATAGGAAGCAATCTAGAGAACATGATGCCAATATTCCCAAAAGATGGGATAGATGGTTTCTGGTTGTTCAGTGGGTGTTTGTCATTGTTAAGGGGGGTAAATTACAAGTTGTTTATTGGTCATGGCCAGGGAAAAAAACTAAACAAAGAAGGTTGGATTCAGGGTTCTCTTTCTGAAAAGAAAAATGATATGGAAAGGGTAGGATAAAAGCATAAATTATCAAATCTACTTTTAAACTAAAAAGCAACTATTAATCTCAAATATTTTATATTCGTGTGGATTTTTTGTATATTAATACAAATTTAAGGTTATTTTTGTTAGAACATACTCTATATACATTTCTACTCTTGTTTAAGGTATTTTTGTACATTGATATAAATTTAAGGTTATTTTTGTTAGAATATTTCTACTGTTGTTTAAGGCATTTTTGTATATTGATAAAAATTTAAGATTATTTTATACTATATATATATATATATATATATATATATATATATATATGTTTCTACTCTTGTTTAAGGTATTGTCCTATGCAGCTCATTTTAAAATGTAATGTATAATTAGGAAATACAGGTTATTAAACTTATAGTCATGCCAGGTATGTTTTCAAGGTTAAACAGAGATATTTTAGAAAGATTGGTGGTCTTCAAACACTTCAGGGACCTACAGAATATAGCATTTAAAGTGGTTTAATAACATAAGGCTTTTCATGACAGTAAGACATGTCTGCTCCTGGCAGCACCAGTTTACTTCAAAGAAGGATAATTGGCATTGAGAGCGTCTGTGTGGAGTTTGCTCTCATTGTGGCAAATTTAGCCATTTGCCTAATGGCTCTAACTGCCCTAAGCCTCAACTACTAACAGTATGCTGGCCAAAGTGGACAAGCAAAACATAAAAGAAAGTGACTGATGAACTTTGCCAAGACAAGATAGAACAGCCCTTCAAAATTCCTGCTTCACAGAAAAGTCTGTCAAATATTCTAGTCTTATAGGCTGAAGATGGATGTCCTACCATTGCAGAGGAACATTGGGTGACAGTCCATGAAGCCAGCTGTCTCTGTTTTTATAGACTTGGAAGTTGCTTCTTCTATACTTCCTGTTTACTCATTCAATATTATATCCTTCTCTGGTCTTTGATGGGGTTGAAGACTAGATAGTTTTAGTTAAAGCTTTCCTTGTTACCAAATTTAAAAAACAAATTCACAAAAGATATGTAACGTTTATGAGGGTGAGAGACATAAAAGCTTAAGTTGTTTGTCTAAGAAGATGTTTTAAGGTATTAAAGGATATATTTGGGCTGGTAATACAAGTTACAATAGAAAGTGGTTTAAAACTTTGGACTCATCAAGATAAGATAGATAATGGAGTCATGTCTCCAAATTTGCCAAATACAAATGGACTAGACATTGTGAATAAAATTCTTACTTGATAATTATCCTTATTATATATAATTTTTCTGCATTAGAGTTAATACCTTTTCTTTTTATTTAGACAAAAAGAGGGAAATGTGGGATATTTTTACACTATGTAAAGATGTATTGCTGTGATTAATGTAATAAAAAGCTGAATGGCAGGAGGTATAAGTGATAT